GCGCGTCCCTCGGGGTTTGACGCTCGCTTCCCAGCCTGCGGAACCCTGGCGGCTAATCCGGCGCGAGAGGAAATTCTCGGGTCCCGCGGGCCCGCGGATCCGCCGCTGTAATTGGAGATGCAAACGAGATTGCGATTATTTATTTACCCCTTTCTCTTTCACGGTGCCATTTTCGGCGTGCGGCCGGCCGCCTATTTTTCGCCGTAATCGCCTTAGCGAGCGCGAAAACCACGCTCCATAAACAAAAAGCGGCCGGGTGTGGAGGAAAAAAATACGTATTTATTCGATTCATGCGAAACCGCAGGAGAAAAGCAGAAATGTAAATATACGGCAGAGAGAGAGAAATAAAACTCGCGGCATAAATATTATATTCCTCGGCGCTGGGGCTGTCAGTTTAAAAATATCGTCCTGAGCCCAAGCGGAGACGGAGGTGCGAAACGCCGGCCGGCTCACGATATTTATTCGCGCAGGTTACTGGATTTCGCGCGAATTTATATAACCGTTGCTTTTAAAGCGAAATATGAACACGCACGTATTGTGTTAGCAGCCTATGGGAATGCGAGTTTATTTGTGAAGTTTGTGCGCTTCTCCTTTTGTCTGTTTCAATCGTTTCAATATTAGTAAAGTTTTAAAAAAATTCGGAATTGACGATATTTATGATGGAATCTGACCTCTGTGCTAAAAATAATTATAATAATAAAGTCTTCCTGAAAGAGTAGATAATAAAAATGAAACACTTTTCATTAATTAATTTTATAGACTCCTTTAAATAGTGAATTTATTTCCAAATATTTTCTTCATTTTCCTTTTCAGACACTCAAAGCTTAGCTATTAAAATCAAGTAATTTGTGATTGGAGGGCAGGAAACATGGGTGAAGTAAAAGTCGAAAATTTTGCCTGCTGCAATTTGTGATGTCACAAACGCATTTTTCTGATCTTTGCAAAAATTATTAGTCATTCACTATGGGCCAATTTTGCGTACAAGTAAAGATTCTCAAACACCCGTCAATGTAAACTAATTCTTAAATTATTATATGGTTTTCGCTGTAAGCCTTTTATTAATGTGTTCATGTCTAAAAATCTTCATAACACCGCGACATTGTTTTTGTTACAACATTAATTAAATATGCTCACAAAACGTAATGAACGCCAATAGCAGTTACGTAACAATATTATTTTGCTTCAAAGAGCCAATTTTGTAAAGACAAGACTTGTCGTCAAGCCTACAAATGACTACATTGCTGAACATTCGCGAGAAAGCTGTATAGTTTTAATAAAGGCAGAGCGGATCTGCGTCGCCCTGCTCCTCTCATTTCGAACAGCCCAGATCAAAATAAGCTGCTTAACATTCTCGGTGCTTTTCACTCTAAAGTGCTTCGTCGGCATTCAACAGGATTAATTATTTCGAATTTGCTGCACTTTGTCAATTTCGATTACAACGAGCTGATGAAAGAAAGTCGTCGTTTGCGTGCACAGAGCTTGGCACACAAAGGCCCTCCTCCCTTCATTGTGCCAGCAGTGAATTTCAACTTTGCAATTTAATTAATTTTGTATTAAATTAATTCTCGCTTAAAAGGAGAGTCAAATTTGTGTCAGAAGAAATTGCCAAATTTCTAGTTTTTTATTACTGTAAATATTATTTAAAAAAGTTAACAATATTAAATAATTTATTGAACTCTCATTGGTATTTAAATTTAATTTTAATTTTTAATGTTTATTTATATTTAAAGATTTACAATTATATAATTAAATAGCCAGTTAAAATATTTCCTCTTAATAGAATGAAGATGATTTATTTGACGTTTAATTATGTAAGTAAAAAGTAAAAAGTATATTTATTGAATTCTGCTTACATCATCGAAATTAATTATTCCATCGATTAATGGTTTTTTTGGGTCAAAGATTGCAATAATATGTGTATTGTAATTGCTAATCAAAAATAAAATGTGGTAATGTGAAATTTCTATTGGAGGTGAAAAAATGTAGCAGAAGAAAATTTTAACAATATTTTTTATTATTTATTTGTTTTTTCAGTTAAGTTAATTATTTTAAAATAATTTAAGTGCTCACTGCATCAAGTAATGCTTACAAATCCAACAAAAACAATGTGTCATCAAAAGAAATAATCTTTATTTTTTATATTTCTACACAATTTTTACTGATCATCGATATCTACAAAGCTAACAAGCATGTAAATATTATATTAGCGTTGACAGAGAGTTTTAAGAGTTTAAGTAATTACGTCATGAAAAAAATCAGAACTCTGTAGTTAAAGATGATTGCTTTGGCTATGCGCTCGTTGCTATCGTAGCAGAATTAAATTCAGCCGAGAGTAAATTTCGTCAGTTAATTAACAAGCGGGTCCATTATTTTTCGCGCGATTGACTCTAATCGTTAATTAATTAAGGCGTGCACTAAAAGCCTTTCAGCGCCTCTTCCAACCGAAACTTCGCACCCTGCTCTCCACTCGCACAGGAACAAAAGGAATTTTTCCATTTGTTCTCACCTGTTGTGGCTTGCGGAAAAATCACGTGGCCGGTCGTGATTGATTAATGAGCTCATTTGCATGATGCGATAACCGTGTTCGGCTCCCTGGCCGAGCGAGCGCGTTTTATTTGCAGCGAGAGCAGAAACGCCCTCGGGGCCTCAATCGGATCCTTCCATTTCCACAACGCGGCTCTCGTGATTCCAAACGCGATATCGTTTTCATTTTTTGCTCAATCAATCTCATGTGGGCGGAATGATAATGAAAAAAGGCTTCTGCTGATTCAAAAGACGCGGCGTAGAAAGATGATTGTAATTCAATTTTGTGAACAAGACTTTTGCAAAGCTTCCCTGGTGTTTGTTTTTGGAAGATTGAATTCATTTTTTATTGTATGGAATATATTTAGAAAAAAGAGAGGTCTGAATTTATTTTAACAGATTGTAAAATTCCAATGTTTTGCAATCATATATTATTATTGTAGTTTATTAATTTTTTTATTTTATTCAATCAAATACATGTTAATTTCATTGTGACACATAAATTAATTAAATTACAACTAGATTTTGCAATATTTATGTATTCTTTTTTATTTTTACCGTCATAAATTGAATGTATCAAAAGCTAAACATGAAATCCATTGAGTTAAAAAAGCAAATCTAATTGAAAAGTTTCACCGAGTTTCACATCCTGAAATCTTTTGATATTTATTTCACTTTCATACTACAAAATTTTTGTATTTTAAAATCTATCACACTGAGAAATCATGCATGTCTTATTTTTTACATTTTCATACCTGTTTCCAAACCAACCCTCTTGAGCTTTTCAACAGAGTGCATCGCATCGAAAAATAACACAGGTTTCGTTTCTGCGAAGCGGAAATGCCGAAAAACAAACTCTCGGATGAGCAGCGAGGACTCGCTCGAGCTGCAAAATCAGCCCGGTTGCTTTTGCCGAGATTTTTATTTTCACTGCCGTGAGCTAACTATACTGACATTAGGCGGGCTTATTCGCGGCCAAAGCCGGGTAATTGCGTGTTTATAACCCTTCATTCGCAAAAGCAGCCGCCCGAAAACGACTCCTTTTATTTCTCAGTGGCCGCGTGTGCCGGCGCAGCCACATAATAAGAAATCAATTGCATCTCTGGCCAACCGAAAAACACACATAAAATCTCAATTACTTTAATGGATGACGGATTGTGCAGCGCCACATCTGCGCAACCCTCTCAAATAAATCAATCAGAAAAGTTCATTGAAAAACGTTATTTGAAATGATTTATCCCAATGAATGAATTTTTCCTATGCTTTTGAAACTCGAGGCAGAAAAAGTAATGAATTTGAACATGTTTTAAACTATTCTCCGAACATCAAAGCCTCAAGAATCAATGCTCAGATCGCTCCCCTTCTTCAGAACGACGCCTTGGGAGCAACGTGCACAAGTAATAAAGTCCACAACATAGTAATAAAACGTCAACTTATTTTTATTATTTGGTGCACACGCCTGACGTCTCCTTTCCTCTGGGCAGTCTTTCTTGTCATATTACTTCAACAGAAGTGCATAAAAATAATGTATTAAAAAAATACTGCTGCGTTCTCATAGAGTGCAGAGCAAAAAAAAACTGACTAAGAGTAGCGACCCGTTCGTAACTTTTCCTCCCCTTAGAAATACTTAATTTTGTTCTTTCAATATTTGCTTGTAAATTTTGACACGAGCCAAAATTTCATTTCAGTCAGAAATTTTTGTAATGTTCCTTCTTTTACTTTATGTCCATAAGTCAAACGGCTGAAACTTTGCGGCAGCTTGAAGCCATCCTCTTCTTTTTAAGATTTTTCCTCCTGGAAGTTGTAGCTATTCTGTTGGATCTCTTTCCATTTCTTTTCTTTTGGTCTTTTAATGAGTTTCTTATTTCGCCAAACTCATTTTTAATTGCAATGTTAATGAAGTCTTGCTTGTTTCGCGCTTCGTTCGTTTCTTCCATCATTTTTGGGTTTTCCAGCAACTCATTCCACGAACCAGCGAATATTCCAGCATCTTTTTTCATAATTGATATTTCAATCAAAATTAATAATTTTGTTCCTTTTACTGAAATATGAATTTATATTCACAGTTCAACAGTTAAAATTTTAATTTAAAAACATCTCATGTTTAATCAAAGGATACAAAAATAAAAGTGCAGAACGATTTGAGTAAAAATTTACTAGAAATATAATTATCCACTGTAACAATATTTCTTGATTGATTTTGATTGCCTTTTTTGTTGCTCTGGAAAAAAACCGCTGACCAACCAAAATCGAATTCCTGTAAGGATACAAGATATACATTATGCAAATATGTGTATTTTTTTATTCCCCCTTCTTTAATAACAGTCAACCTGCCATTCAATGTCCAGCCGCCCCCGGGGGCAGCATGGCGAGCGTCGACCGCGCGCGTCGACGCCCCCGGGAGGCGGAGGGGGCGCAGGCGCGGGTCGGGGGTGGTCGAGGGCAACGGGTTGAGGCCTCCTCAGTCTCGGCCGGCCCTCTGAGCGGCGCAAATGAGCAGGTGAGTCTCGCCGTCGCTTCCAACATTTATTCTACAACACCCCCTCCCTCTATATTGTCCCTTATCTGTGTCATTTACGGTCACCCTCGGGCGACGACTTCGAAGCCGTACCTCGTTCTTTTCCGACGGCAGGAAAGGAAAATTTCCCAAAGATTTGCTCTTATTGAACACCAGCCGGAAAAAACCGAGTTTGTGTGCTCACTTTTTTTCGTCGTCGTCGTCGGAAAGAAAATTAAAATTGCTCGCGGCCGCAATTTTTTTTTTACTCTCCGCACTCTCGCATGACCAAAGTAATAATTTCCGAACTGCAATGTGGATTTTTACACTCGCTGCCTGTAATGAAAAAGTATCGGTCTTGCGATCTAAAAGTTTGTGTGCGGAGGAAAGCAGCATAATATTTTAAAGGCGCATTATTTCTATCTTGGAAAGTTTCTTGTGGAAAAAGAAAATAATTTTTATAAATTTATCTGCGCACAGATTTAAGTTCAAAGTTAGATGGCTTGCGCACTTCTTTAGCAAATATACCCATAAACATTTTGCATTTAAAAAAAAGCATCAATTTGATCGATAAAAGTATGGCCATTGAAACTTTTCTCAAAGAACTTTTTGTAAATAACAATCAAAATAATGCTTTTTCTTTCGAAATATACTAAAAAGATGAATATTTTTTGCTCTTTCACCCATACTTGCTACCAGAACTGAGATAAATTTCCACTCAAATTATCTGGAAATAAGTTATTCCAAAAAAATTAAAATATACAAATGATAATGATGATCCAAATAACTTAATTTAAATTTTGTATAATAGTCAATCAATGTTTTAATGGCATATTTTTATGATAGATTTAAATGAAATAATGACCCTGAAAATTTATCGAATTATTTAATAAAAATCTTTCAGTCATTATTTCTAACAATCCAAAACTATGACAAAATTAAATTAATTTAATGTTGTTTAATGATAAAATTCAACAATCATACCGTGGATTTTTGAGAAAACTATGATGTTTTAAAAAACGGGACCAAGATTTTTCTACATTTACAATTAAAATTATATTATTCTTCTGATATAACTCAGTTGTAGCTTAATATTTTTTCCTTATCTTATTTATAAAAATAAAAAGGTTCAGTAAATACTGAAAAGTATTGAAAAATAAATCAGACTATACATTAACATTTTCAGCCCGTCTTGGCGCAAATCTTTTTTGAGTTTCGCGCGTTTCAACAAGTTTTTTCTCAATATGTTTTCAATTCATCATATTTTAATGATTCCTTTAATAATTTTCTTCTTACTTGATTTGTGACGACCAAACAACAACAACAACTCGCCAATACCAGTTTCAAGTTGTAAAACCCACTAATTGTACATGATATCGTTTAATCTTTTGGCTTGTTCTCTCTCAATCTCACCCTCTTAGGAAACTTAAGTAGTTCTAAACTGCACCTCCAGTTTTCTACGTTGTGCTGCGTGTGTAGTCTCGTAACTCGCAGATTAATCCCAAGGCCAAATCCGCGGTTTCCTCCGACGAAAGCCGCCGCAAGTCAGCAGACGAGGGTGTTTGGCTGGAAACCAACCAACCCACCCCCGTTCCCCGGCACCCCTGGCTGGTTCGCCGAGAGGCTCTTTTGCGATCCAGATTAATTAACAGTAATTGGCAGTGAGGGATGTGCATTTAATCAACTACTTGTGGAACTCGCTGGCTCTGCACCATTTTTGCCGCGATTAATTCCGTTCGTTGTGATGAGAATAATGCGGCCGCTGATTGCAGCGGCCAATCGAACGGCGATTACAGCCCAATGAATTGCCCATTCTCTCTTCTCTCTCGGTCATTTCATTTCCTTCCGCACGTTTGCGGCCAACTTTAATTGAATAGATTTTTATTGGCTCTTGGCCGTTCTGCGCGACTAATGAACTGACCGCTGCAAACGCACCACTGGCAAATTGCAAATATTATATTCATTCAATTGTTCCAATAAAATGGCAATAAAATTAGCAGTGTATGTGTAGCCAGCTCATGGTCTGAATCAGAAATTGATATTGATTTATCAGAATGCTTATAAAGTTGGAACATTGTACATAAAAGTATTACCGAAATTTGCAAATATGGTATAGAATGTATTTTTTTTCTCACATTTCTATATTTACAATTATTTTTACAATTTTTATTATTAAATCTAATTTAGATTTTTTTTTTAAATTAAACAATCACTTTTCATTTGCTCAAGTATAATTATGGTCTCTGAAATTATTGTAGCAAAATTTTTGTCATTTTTTCATCTCGTTTTTGGCAGATTTTGTGTGCGATTATATTGATTGTTTTCAACTTTGCATTTTTTTCTTTTTTATGAAATTGTTTAATTTTAGAAAAATAATTTAAAAACTCTTCTGCTTTCCACTAAATATCCTGATATTAACTTTAACTTTAACTTTTTATTTATAACTCCTGATTTTTTACAAAAAGCATTAACTTTAAAATTTGATTCTTTATCATTATTTGCTAAACTTGAAATTTTAAGAAAAATCTTTGAAAAGGAAATGTGAAAATTCTGCACAAAACGTCTGGTGCACAGGCTAATTACGTACTTCTTGCGCTTCATTTCTTCTACTATTGAGCTGATGCTTGTAATAAGCAAGCTGGGCGTGAGGTTGTACGCATTCAAGTACACAAAGAAGCTGCAGAACTAGTTTTGCGCTCATTGTCGGCACGCTGCTTTGAACGAATATAAGCAGCTTCTCTTGCAATGCCTAAAATTAGAGCGAAATTATCCAGAATACAAAGTTAACGGAGCAAAAAGCGTCCTCTGTGCCGAGCTAAGTAGCGGAAAATATTATATAATAAATGCACTTTTGCGGTTTCTGGTCGCCGAGTTGCCACTGCTGTCAAAGAGACAGAGAGGAGAGAACAGGGCCTAATTGAGTATGGTGACAAAAGACCCGGAGGACCGTCGCAGGAAAAAATGGTCCACCGGCGCTTGAGCCAGGTTAATTAAAATGTGGCAGGGGTTTCACTAACAATGTGCAAAAAGAGAGGCAGCGAAGGAAGCGCCTTTTGTGATTTCCTTATCTTTTTTTGCTCAGCCGGAAGCAGGCAAATTTATGCGAGCTCATGAAAAATGCATCGATATTTCAACACTCTTTCTTTCTTTCTCTCTCGATATTTTCCATTCCGTTTTGAGGAGACACGAGTCTATACTATCTTTCCTTTCTTCTTTATACTTTGAGTGTGTGTGTGTGCGAAGACGGCCTGCCTCATTTTCCTCCGACTTCCCGCGCCAGTTTTTCCTCCTCTCCACCACTGCTCGAGGTGTTCTCGCCAAAGTTTCGTCGTCTCTCTCGTGTCATTTGGACCGCCCTTCGTGTACCATTGGTGTCGGCACCCGTGTGTTTAAATTAAATTTGCACTTTTAGCCGCAGGGCTAGTTGATGAAAGAGGCTGCCGGCGCGTGTGTTCCTTTCCGTGTCTTGAAAGTTAAAACAAACAGCCAAATTGGATTTGCGAATTTGTCCCTTTGTAAATGAATGCGTCTTCCACGTCGTGACTTCTTCTTAATCAGGATGTCTGCAGTATTAAAATCATTAATGATTATTTATTCTTCTCAATTCAAAAATTTGAAAAAGTGAAGAAAGAGTTGCAGCTATTATAATATTAATTCATAATTCTTTATTATTTCCAAGAAAGTCAATTTTTTATGTAAAATAATTTGAAGTTTTTGTTAGTGAAATTTTATTACTTTAATATTAAAACATTTTGAAGTAGTTTCATGCAACAATTTTCTCTCTAAGACAAATTAAATTAATTTAATTAAGCAACCCTAAAAACTTAATGTGTGTCAAAATTTTTCAGAAATCGATAGAAACTAACATTATTTCATTGTCAGTCAGAGAGGGTTTCAATAGGAACAGCTCCTGTTTCAAAAAAGCTTGTTATATTTTGATAATATTTATACCAATTTGTGTCTCTAGGTTTCAAGCAAAGCATTTTCGCATCGCAATCTAAAATCTCTTTGAAAAGATCGCGTCTAAATGTCAAAAGTGAGGAGGTAAGGCGGAGGAGGCGCGATTATTAAGAAACTTTCACGTATATTTCAAATCCCAGCAGCTCGGCGCAAGCCAGTTTTATTCGTTTCTTCCGCCCAGCCAGAGAGTGACGGAGAGGTGAGAACGAAAAAAAAATACAAAAAACAATCTATGTGCACGGCGAAAAAGCGCTCCGAGTCATGTGCATGCACTTTTAAACGCCATTCGGCTGCACAGGAAGGAAACAAAACTCATTTTCCCCTCGGCACAGAAATTGCAAATATGAATTTGCAAAATTCCTCATTCATCACCGACGGAGTGTATTTTTTTCTCCACTCCGACCGAAGCGCGCACCTAATTCAATTGTTCGCTCTCGGCAGATCCGCACAAAAGAAGCGAAATAAAATCGCGGCAAAAACATAAAATAATAATAAACTGGCGTGCAAGTCTGCCTCATTCGGCGCGGCCTCCTCATTAAGTGAATTTCCAAGACGTTGCCAACGAGGCACGGCTTCGCGCCGCTTAATATCCGTCCTATTTTCTGATTTCATTTTCGGAAATAAGCAATCGCTGAGGAGAGACGAGGAAATTTCGAATTTAGAAGCAGCAGTTTATGCAATGGCGCGACCTCAATTTGCAGCCGAATATTCACGCTCGCGCGGCTCGTTGCCGTTGGAAATCACTTGGCATTTGCACACTGTCGTAAGTTAATTTGTCATTTTGATGGAACGTTTCGTCACTGTCCAAAATATGTCGCTCGCTCGCTGACAATCTCGGCGCGTGCTGGAAATTCTTGAGGCGAAATATTGCACTTCTCCCCAAGAACAGGATCCGAAAAAGGGCAGAGCGTTAATCATAATTATATCTGCGGAAAAAATAAACATCTCAGAAAAAATAATTCATGAAATAAAAAGTATTTCTTTCCACACGCTTGTTATTTTTCTTTTGACCTCGACAGTTATCAATCACTCTTTTTTGGATG